ACCGGATAGTATTACCACTAAATTGCGTATGGTTTTTGATGCCTCTTGCTCAACTGATAGTGGTCATTCTCTCAACGAGGCACTGTTGGTTGGTCCGGTTGTCCAGGACGATCTTTTAAGCATTGTTCTCAGATTTCGAATACCGCAGTTCGTCATCATAACCGACTTTGAAAAAATGTATCGGCAATTCCTTGTACGGGAGTCCGAGCAACCACTGCTCCGCATCCGATGGAGGGATTCTCCGTCGCTTCCACTGCAAACTTTCCAACTCACAACGGTGACATACGGGACATCTTCGGCTCCGTACCTCGCGACAAGATGTCTCAAGCAACTTTCTGAAGATGGTACAGAGAGTCATCCAGCTGCAGCTTTAGTTCTTGTTCGTGACTTTTACATGGATGACATGCTCACCGGCACCGATAGTGTTGAGGAAGGTCAAAACCTCTGCGAGGAACTAATCGAGCTTACTAATTCCGCTGGTCTACTTCTTCGCAAGTGGGCCTCGAACAATTCTGCTATTCTATCAAGCTCGATTCGGCTGCTGCTCCCATAAAAGCACTAGGGCTTCAATGGGACACCTCAACGGATGTATTACAGTTTCATGTACCAAAATTCAACACACATGCACCGATTACCAAGCAAACTGTGCTCTCGGACATCGCCCGCTTGTTTGATCCTCTAGGTTTTATCGGACCGGTGTTGGTTCAAGCAAAATTGTTCCTTCAAGATCTATGGCGAGAAGGTTGTGAATGGAAGGAGCCACTTACCGAATCTCGTCAACGTTTGTGGATAGAACTTCGAGACAGTTTGTGTCATTTACCAGACCTGAAGTTTCCTCGATGGGTCATAGAAACGTCGGGAGTTGCGTGTCTTGAGGTTCATGGGTTTTCTGACGCGTCGGAAAGAGCGTATGGAGCTTGCGTATATCTCCGTGCAGTATCGTCCACTGGTAACATCCATGTTAACCTGCTTACCGCCAAATCCAAGATTGCGCCGAAGGGGAAATCGAAAAAGAGTGGAATCATCAGTCTCCCTCGTCTTGAACTATGTGGTGCTCTTTTATTGAGCCACCTGTTCGAAAAGGTCGATTCCAGTTTGAAACTCAAGGCCAAAAACTTCTTCTGGACAGATTCGCAGATCACGCTATACCAAATAGCTGCTAACCCATCGCGCTGGAAAACTTTCGTTGCTAACAGGTGTTCGGAAATACAGCGAATTACAGCCAATGGTATGTGGTCCCATGTACCAGGTTTGGAGAACCCCGCAGACTTGATTTCTAGAGGGATGTCTCCAGCACAACTGCGTGACTGTTCAGTCTGGTGGAAAGGGCCAGATTGGTTAGCACAACCGTCACTTGGGTCCCCACGCAACAAAAGTTTCAGTTCAGATGAACTGGAAGAACGAACTGTATCTCTACCTGCTCAAATACAACCAACAAACGAACTATTCGCACTATTCTCATCGTACACCAAGCTCGTCTGGATTGTAGCGCTGCTTCGAAGGTTTTCACATAACACGAAGGCAAGTCTTCCCACGGAACGTCGCACTGGATTCCTATCTACCATGGAAATCAATAAAGCGGTGCAGCTACTAGTGAAACTGGCTCAGAAAGAATGCTTCGCTCAAGATTTAATGGAGATCACGCGCCATGAACAAGTCAAACCTAACTCTCGCCAAAATACTCTCTCTCAGATTCTTGTAAATGGAATACTTCGTGTTGGTGGCTTGCTGCGCCACGCGCCGATTTCTTATGACCGGACAAACATCTACTTACGGAACTTATAATAGTTCATTATCACCAGAAACTTCTACACGCTGGACCGCAACTTCTCACAGCTGCTGTGTGGAAACGTTTCGCATCAGAAATCTTGCTCGTCGAGCCGTTCATGCCTGCACCAGATGCTTTCGGTGTAAACCGAAGGTCTTAGAGCAATTGATGGGAGAACTACCTATGGAACGTGTCACACCCGCATTTCCGTTCTTACATACCGGAGTGGACTGCTGCGGGCCGTTTTCTTGTCGACCCATCCGGAGAGTATCGGCTATCAAATGCTATGTGGCTGTGTTTGTCTGCCTTGTGACAAAGGCAGTCCACCTAGAGTGCGTTGCAGACTTGACTACCAACGCGTTCATCGCTGCTCTGCGGCGGTTCACTGCGCGTAGAGGCAAACCAACCCTGATTGAATGCGACAACGCCCTGAATTTTCGAGGAGCCAAACGGGAGCTCCAAGAATTAGCCCGTCTATTCCGATCCCAACAACATCAGGATCAAGTCACCCGTAGCTATTCTGAAGATGGCATCTCTTTTAAGTTCATCCCTCCCAGATCCCCAAATTTTGGAGATCTCTGGGAGGCGGCCCTGCGCCGAACTGTGGGAAATGTGATTCTCTACCAAGAAGACTTTTTGACTCTCTTTACCCAGGTTGAAGGTCTACTCAATTCTCGTCCATTGACACAGCTAACCTCTGACCCAAATGACCTAGAGGTGCTCGCGCTAGGGCATTTCTTGGCCCATCGCTCGCTAACTGCCATCCCGGAGCCCAATCTCGCAGCCATACCAACCAACCGACTGGATCGGTATCAGCAAACCCAGGAGTACGTTCGTAGAATATGGCAGCAATGGCAAACCGAATACTTGTCCGCACTGCAACCTCGAACTCGGTGGACCCAAAGGCGCAACAACATCGACGGTGGCACGTTGGTGTTAGTGAAGGAGGTGAATCTGCCCCCACTGAAGTGGAGCATCGGCCGTGTGACGAAAATATACAAGGGTGACGACAATTGCATCCGAGTTGTCGATGTGCGGACAAAGGACGGAGAATATCCAAGGGGCATCTCCAAAATCTGCGAGTTGCCCAACCAACCCGACAGCGGCCGTGCCGCTGAACAACCAGAAGGAAATTAAGGTCCTTCCATCGATCGCAGTGCTTCACTGCGCAACACCGGGGGGTCGTACGACCTCCCGTTCAAGTAAGTCGTTGTATTAAACTGACTCCCAAAAAACTAATATAATTTTTCGTCTCCCTGCGCCCGCGATGTTGGTGTTCTCACCTTCCAACCACCACGAGAGAGGTTTGAGCTGGCTACTATTCGATGGTCTGTAGCTACCCCAACGCATATACTGTACATCGAATGTACAATGTCGAAAGTATAGACCTAGAAGGCAAGCCCAGCGAACACCTGTTGTCGCATCACTCATCGAAGGAAGTTTCTTTATCCAACCTTCCGTCAATTCATAAGCCTGGTGCCATTCAACAACTCGGATTCCATTCACGCACAAGTACGCCTAGTATTTCGATGCCAACGATCATCGTCCTGTTTCGGACCCGTGGAGGCCGGTAGCCTCCGTCCCAGTTAAGTGATTGTTTTTTTTTCTTTGATTGTTTGAAAAAACCGCCTATGTTTATTCCCAGAATAAAGAGTCAGCCCGAGGGCAACCCAGCCCTTCGTACCACGAGAAGCATGAACGAATTCGAACTACCTAGACAAGTCAAGATAAGTCAACTACTACAACAACGATCAGCTGATCGTCCGACCCTGGCAGCCGAGTAGTCACATGGTCACGATCCTGGTTAGCCCAACGATGGGGCAATAAGTAGCACGTGAAGGAGTGTATACATCAACAGAGCAGCGAACGCAGCCGAGTCAACGGAGAAGAAGAAGTAAGAAATCAATAAAACCCGATAGCAGTAGAGTTTGAAGTTAAGTTACCAATAAACATCCTATTGCATCACATCTGAATATCATCGAGTATACTCAGTGGAGCTCAGAAATAAAGTGTCGTTCTTTCGCCCAAAAATCGAAGCACATCGATCCAAATTCGAAAGATTCTACATGATTTTTTGGGGTTGTCCTTAAACTTATGTTCGGTAGGGTAAATAACTATCGAAAATTATATCTGGTCACTTTCCCGATTCCGGGAATTCCTGGGAAGAGCCATGAGCTTTGTTACAGATTTCGAGGCTGGAAGAAATGGCCGGGAAAAGGAGACACTACAATTAAGGAATGATTAGCAGCGCCGGTGCTGTATAGGTAAGCATGATTACCTCTCACCCCAGCAGGCCTGGGTTCAATCCCAGTTGACGCCTTCGGGATTTTCTAAGGCATAACATCTCTGATAACGGAGTAAAGGAAAGTAAAGCCGTTGGTCCCTGGTTCATGAGTTGATGGGTCGAAGGTAGTAGGGTTCAGAGGTGGGTAGCATTGGTGCTCTCTGGCGTCGGTAGCATTGGTGCTCAGCACGGAAAACAAGATCGACGGAAAACAAATCAAGGAAAAAAACCCTGCGTTGGGAAAGTGGCGCCATGTAGGAATTATGAGATCAAAACTGAAAGCATACGGAAATCCATTGCTTGTTAAACTTTATGCTCCATAGACTCCTAATAATAACACAACTGATCAAATTAAACGGAACAAGATGGTTACACTGCTCATAAAACTCCTGCTTTCATTATGTGCAATACAACAATTGCATTGATCGAGCTACATCTCCTAATTACATACATTCAAAGCCCATGTTTACATTTTCAATTTAGACCACATTAAGTTGTAAAACTGACTCCCATTGTTTCAAGCACCTACAGCAAACGCATTTTTATGGCCAATAATGGCTGAACAAAACCCACTAACCTAAAGTTTGCAAATCAAGAATGCTTTCACTCACCGGGCACGAGCAAACGTACGCTTATTTTATTACTTATACAAAAGTACCATCAATCCTCATATCTAAACGTGTGGCGTAAGCCGGTAAGCTAATGATGACCAGCTGACCGAGGTGTTTTAATTAACCTCGGATAATGGCATGTAATTTGCCTGGTTTAAGGGTTTTTCCTTCAACACGGTGCACCACCTGGCACGTGTGATTAACACCCCGTTCATGGAAAGTGCACAAACTGTCACTTTCAACATCTGCTGCTAAGCGAAATGACCACCGATGCACCCCCCGCAGAGATTGACCTCAATCGTTTTACATCTTTGTTTTTGGGTAGGTAGGTACTTACCAGTTGCTCTTCTGCTGCCATCGTTAGACCGGATGGGGCTGAAACGTAGGAGGCCGCAATCGACGAGGCCGCTCCGGTGGGGGTCCGTTTCAGGCCTCCCGATGAAAAACCGTGAGCTGATGGTCCGTGAGCTGAGGGTGGTGGTCCGTACACGGGTTTCGGGTTAAATATTCTGATGGGAAGGGAAGTTTCAGGTTCCAGGGGTTCGGGGAAAACGAAAGTTTGTATTAGATTAAGATTGAAATATTTCGGCTCTGATTGTGTGGATACATTGTTTGGGATCGAAGGAAGCTACCCTCAAGTTGATTTATGCAAGGAAATTCACATTTATTAAAGTCAAAACCAAACAAGAGAGCCACTTTCTTCTCGCCGGCACTCGTGTGGATATGGAAGCAGGTCATATTTGTATAGGTTGGATTAAAGCGCGAGAAATCGAACAGGAAAAAAAAAAGAAGAAATGATGAGATATGTGTCCATCTTTGCCCCCTTCTCCAGCGAAGAGTGAAAAATGGACACGCACTTCTTGCACGGTATGGTGATGAAAAAGATGGTCGGTTATAATTGTGATCGATAAAATAATAGTAAAACCCAGGTAAGTAGCGTATTAATTGCATACACAATCTCTCCCTCCGGCCTCGATGTCAGTCAGATTCGAGGGTGTCGCGGTTCCAAATGAGTGATTTTAGTGAAATTTTTGCCCGATATATAGCTAAGTTAGTATAGGCACCACTTCCTTCCTCGATCATGCAGGTGTTAGTCATGGATGGACGATTAGTGCGCACATTTGGAGCGGAAGATGTCCGACTACGGCAGTCGTCGTCGTCGTCGTCGTCGTTGTCGTCGTCGATGATTTCTCCGAAGAACTATCAAAAAGGTGTATTCTGTGCGTAGTTTGCAGGGCAAGGGTGACTTTCCCTAAGTCAAGCGTGGGGTGGGGGTGGGTTGGAGTGGGGTGTCATTTCTCGTGAAAAAGCATCACGCACGCACACCTTGAGAGAAGTCTGCTTTGCAGGCTTATAGGTGACGCAAGAGGTCCGTCCTGTAACGAACCAACCTACCTGTTCTGATGATGCGTGAGCGGATTTACATTGCTGCTGTGGCTACTACCGGAGGAAGGTGGTGAAGAGAATGCAGATGATGATGATGATGGTTGTGGTTGCTTTGGCAGTGCTGTTGTTGAACCAGTGCCCAAACCCCATGCATTGATATCATTCATGTCCTCGTACCGTGGCTTGAACGAGGTGTCTACGTAAGAGTTTCTATCGCTAATGAACCTGTGTGCGGGTGTGGAAACGGGAGGCGATTGATAGTTTCTCACAAGATGTTTGGTCGCATTTGTTTTGTTTTGTTTTGTTTTTGGGTCTCGGAGGTAGATTCGAGGTTTGTCCCCGTGTTGGTCTTACGAGCTAGACTAGTAATGAGTTAGAAATGCACTACACACATAGAACGAAAAAAATTGCTATTGGCTTGGCTACAAATTGACTGTTGTGTTGGAATGGCATTCGTTATTTACTGAGATCACGTTGGGCTTCTAATGAGCGTCAAAATAATTATTGAACCAAAGAGAACTATAAGTAAAAAATGAAGAAAAAAAATAAATGAATCAATGAATTCCCACATCACAAGTAGAAGCGATATCTGCATGCAACTAACTAAGCCTCTCATCTACCCTTTCGTATCAATTGACCTTTTTTAACTAACAATTTGATCTGATGCAAGGTTTCTTATTGGATTGGAGAGAGTATGGATTCAGTTGAGACCTGTGGACCCTTCGCAGAAAATCCAGCTGAAGCTTCGAGCTACCGTCCAATAAGTTTGCTTTCTTCAATAAGTAAAATTTTTGAAAAGATGATTTTAAATAGAATGATGCTTCACATCAATACGATCTAAATTTTTGCAGTTAAGCAGTTTGGATTTAAACTCTTAAGAGCTACCAATTTAATTCGTTCAAACAAATCTGCAGGCTGCTCACCTGGAGTTGCTCTTCTAGACATAGAAAAAGCATTCGACAGTGTTTGACATGAAGGTTTGATTGCCAAATTGAAAAAGTTTAATTGCCCACTCTATATTATGAAATTAGTTCAAAATTATTTAACGGACAGAACTCTGCAGGTAAATTATCAATATTCCAAATCTAATCGACTACCTGTTAGAGCAGGAGTTCCTCAGGGTAGCATTCTTGGGCCTATATTGTATAACATTTTCACTTCGGACCTCCCTGATTTGCCTCAGGGTTGCCACAAATCTTTGTTCGCTGATGACACAGGCATTTCCGCTAAAGGAAGAAGTCTTCGTGTTATTTGCAGAAAACTGCAGAAAAGTCGGTGAAAGCCACTGTTCCCCTCATCACAGTCGAGCCTCTCCCGCCATCGACCTGCAGTCGTCCCGGTCCTGTGGTTGAGTCCGGAAACGGGGTCTTCCAAAATCCAACCGCAGGCAAGTATGATCGCTTTCTGAATAATTCCGTCCCTGAAACGATTATCACTTCTAATCGAACTTCAACAATGAACTCCTTCGTGATTGACCCATGTTGGACACCGGGACGCACGCCTGCCATATGTGTTATGGAAGCCCCTAATTCATCCATCACAGTCGAGTTATTCCTGCCAGCGACCTCCAGCCGTCCCTGTCCTGTGTTTGGATTTGATGAAGGGGTCTTCCAAAACCCTATCTCAGGCAAGTACGACATTATTTCGAACAATCCACTTCCTGAAATGTATTATGCCTACAGCCGATCATTTCCGATAAAAGCACAACCTTCTTTTTCTTCTTTCCTTTATTTAACGTCGGTCTCTGTTCCGCAATCTAGTGCCAATCACCGACGGACATCGATTGCCATCCATTGACGGCAATCGAATGTGCAGGAAGGCAGCTTCAACACCTGCGTAGGATATCGCACCCATTCAAACACACATGGGCCGGGACCAACGGCTTTACTTCCCTTCCGAAGGAAGACGTGACCAGAGATTTTTATGCCTCAGAAAAATTCCACCGACCTCGGCTGGGATTGAACCCAGACCCATTGGGGTGTTAGAACGCAGTAACGCTTACCACTACACCACCGGCGCCGGCCAAAAACACAACCTGCTTTATTCAACTCGACACTCGGACGCACACTTGCAACTAGCCTTGTGAAAGCCCCTGATCCTATTATCGCAGTCGAGCCTATGCTGCCAGCGTTCAACAGTCGTCCCAGCCCAGCGTTTGAGTTAGGAGAGGGAGTCTTCCAAACTCCAACTGTAGGCAAGAATAATCAGCAAGCAACAACTGCTCTGTCTGAAAAATTCTTGGTTTCCAGAGTGCGATTGTATATGTCTGCTCCTCGACAATTGTGGTCTGAAGATAACATTAACAGTATACCAGCCCCACCATACCAGAAGCCGAGACGCTCCACAGAAAATTCACCGGAAGAAGCATCCAGATCCTCTGATCTAGTCCTGCCGAAGATTGACGACTTACACCATTATGATGAATCAACTTCTGTTTGTTTACTGGGACGCACTGCCGTTGGCATCATGGAAGCCCCCGAGTATGAACTCGTCCATGTGAATTCAACTGTTGATCCGCCACTTGTTTTCAGTTCATCTTCGCTTATGGCCACCACTTGGAGCCTTTCTACGCCAGGTGATCTTTCGCTGCCTGATAGTTCACCGTTCTCTCGTTCGGATCCTGGACAAGTTACTATTGACACGGCTCGCCCCGATCCCTCTAGCGGTTTACGAGTCTACTATCAGAACACCAGGGGGCTCATGACTAAATTGGACGATGTTTATCTGGCTGCGCTTGACGGGGAATATGACGTTTATGTATTCACGGAAACTTGGCTCGATGGGAGGATCAATTCAGTGCAACTGTTTGGTGACTCTTTTACTGTCTACAGATTAGACCGTAATTCATCCAACAGCATTCATACTCGCGGTGGTGGTGTCCTTATCGCTGTTTCCAACGCATTCGCCTCTTGTGTAATCTTCAACGAACTATTTACTACAATTGAAGCGGTTTGGGTTAAGGTCAGCCTCACTCGCGTAACATCCTCATTGGAGCGGTGTACAGAATTTGCATCGTCCATGGCTGATATAACGGATGTGCTTCTTCTGCTTGGTGATTTTAATCAGCCTGGGCTTAGCTGGTCACCCTCAGGCCAGGGTTATGCGTTTCCAGATCCAATTGCATCTTCAACAACTCCTGCCAGCCGCTTGCTTGTTGACGGCACGGCTTTTCATGGACTGAGCCCTGATTTGGATATATCTATCGCGAACGGATCTCAAATTCGTTTTAATGAAACCATGACTGCCACTCGGCTCCATTTCCGGAAGACCGATTTCCGTTTGCTGAGGCGTTCCTTGTCCCGGATTAACTGGAACGTGTTGAATGACCTTGAAATCGATACAGCAGCCGCTCGCTATAATAGCCTTTTGCGCTGTTTGTGTTTGTGCTTCAGTACCGAAGTGCCAACCTCCAAGAAAACCACCTTGGTCTAACGCTACTCGCCGCAACCTGTAACGAGTGCGATCTAGAGCTCTCCGTGCTCTCACTCATCGACGATGTACCCTTACCAAGCGAAATTTTTCAATTGCCAGCAATGATTATCGCCACGCTACAACAAGCTTCTTTACAAGAAGTATGTAATTCGTACTCAACATAATCTGCAATGCCACCCCAAGGGATTCTGGTCGTTTGTGAATACGAAGAGGAAGGAAACTGGACTGCCGTCAAAAATGTTTCTCGGCAATGACGTAGCATTGACAACTGAGGACAAATACAGCCTATTTGCTAGGCACTTCTTAAGCGTCTTCTCGAATGACTCCCCATCGCAAGCAGAAATTGAGCGAGCCGTCCGTGATGTGTCAACCTACGTCGTAAACATGGATTTTTTTGCCGTAGATGTACAAATGGTTCTCTCTGTGATGAGTAAAACCAAATCATCATTTTCACCAGGTCCGAGTGTTATTCCATCTGCAGTCCTAAAAAAATGCTCCGATATCTTAGCTGCTCCGTTGTCCTTGCTCTTCAACCTGTCACTTCGTCAACAGAAATTTCCCGCACTATGGAAACGCTCTACTTTGTTCCCTGTTTTCAAGAAAGGAGACAAACGCAATGTGGAAAACTACCGTGGGATTACCTCGCTTGGGGTTGAATCTAAGTTGTTTGAGTCGCTGATAAATGAGAGATTGTTTGCTTCCTGCAAGCATTACATAAGTACATGTCAACATGGTTTCTTTCCTGGCCGCTCCGTGGAAACTAATCTCGTCAGCTTTACGTCGTTTTGTATGGAAAATGTATGCAAGAAACTTCAAGTGGATGCCATCTACACTGATCTTAAAGCTGCGTTTGATAGAGTTGTGCACGACGTTCTGCTAGCATAGCTTGAAAAAATTGGATGTTCTGTTTCCTTCTGCAGCTGGCTTAGATCGTACCTCGTGCAACGTGAAGTTACTGTATGCATTGGAAACTACTCATCGTACTGTTTCTCGAACAGATCAGGAGTTCCACAGGGTAGCACTTTGGGACCAATGCTCTTCTCTTTATTTGTGAACGATGTAACGTTTATCCTACTATGTGGAGGTAAATTGTTTTTTGCCGATGACTTGAAGATTTATCTAGTCGTTCGAGGCTATGCCGACTGTTAAGAACTACAAAACCTTCTTGAAATCTTTTATGATTGGTGTGAACGTAATGTTATGGTCCTGTGCGTCTCAAAGTGCTGCGTAATTAGTTTCCGTCGAACTAGGACTGCCGTTTTGTTTGATTATAACGTTGCTGGTACTGCAGTTCAACGTGTCGATCACGTTAAAGACCTCGGTGTCATGTTGGATGAAAAGCTCACATACACTCGCCACTTCTCAACCACGATCGGCAAAGATAATCGACAGCTTGGATTCATGTTCAAGATATCTAAGGAATTTCGTGATCCTCTGTGATTTTCAGCCCTTTACTGTTCATTGGTACGCTCACTACTGGAATTCACGTGTGTTGTCTGGAATCCCTACCAAGCAGTATGGAGTGGACGATTCGAAGCTGTTCAACGCAAATTCGTCAGATACTCAGTGCGCTATCTTCCATGGAGTGACCCGCTGAATTTACCACCGTATGCTGATCGCTGCCGTTTACTGGGTTTGGATACTCTTGCTAAGCGACGAAACATATCGCAGGTCGTCTTTGTTGCTAAAGTTATGCTCGCAGAATATGATGTTCCTGAGTTACTGGCCAAAATTAAACTGTATGCTTCTGCCCGAACACTCCGTCCGAGAACCTTGCTACATGAAGTAGTACA